AAGGGTTGGGGGGATATAGCCTAGTACAAAGGCCTGCGTTCAATCCCCAGTACCAAAAATGGGGGAGAGGGTCCCTCTGGCAGTCGGAATTTGGTGAGATGGGCCTGTTAAATCACTAGGCATCAGTGCTTTTAGTTAGGCTCATAGTTACAACTCATCTGGGAGGTAAGCAGGGACGGCGCACCAGGAATGGTCAGGGACTCGGATGGGCAGCATGGATTTTACTTAGGGTTTTTGGTGGTGGTGGTGGTGGTGGTGATGGAGTTTGCGCTGTAAAAGGGTTCACCATGCCCTGGCCAACTGGACATACAGGGGAGCCCTGGTTTTGGAGATCCTGGGGAAAGGCCACAGGGAGGAAGGCAAGACGGCAGGTGAAGACTTCTAGCTCTTTTCCCCACCCTGGTAGGGAAGGTGTGCTCCTTCTTACTCTAGAGCTGCCCCCAGGCAGCTGGGGGCTTCCCCGCCCTGACCACGCCCACTGGGTGTTGACACAGCTCAGCCTGCGCTCCTAGGCTTCTGGATGAGTATCTTTCACACTGCCCTGAGTTCTGTGAACAGAGGATGGCAGCCTTCCGAGCTAAAGACTGCACCCACGTGATTTTTAATTGGCGGCACAGCAGCAGACGATGGGTGGGGAGCACCTCGGCAGGTCCATCTTGATGCCAGGAGATAAGAGTCCAGCCACACTTCCCATTCCATCACGCTGCCGTGTATGAAAAATTACTGACAATTTTGCGTGTGCTGACCTGGTGCACACGTGTGGGGTGTGAGAGACACTGGTGTACTGGGCCTGTGTGTGTCAGGCAGGTAGATGTGAATGTGGATGCACACAGCTCGAACCTGTGTGGTCCAGGTGTGCGCAGCACCTCGCAGCCCCACGGGTGTGCACCTGGGCCCCATCCTGGTATCTCTGCCCGCCTCAGTGTGTTTCCTGGCCTGTGCTTGGTTTGTAGGACAGTGGTGGGGCCCGGCGAGCTGTGATTGGTGGTGGCCCTCAGTTGCTTACCCACTACTACGATGACGCCCGGACCATGTACCAGGTGTTCCGCCGTGGCCTTACCATCTCAGGTGAGGGGGCTGTGGGGATGAAGAGGGGCTGTGGCAGGTGCTGCAGGGGTTCAAGGGTAGGTAAGCAAGCATGTACCAGGGACGCGGCAGATGAGCAGTGCCCAGGTTCAGCAGGGAGAACCCACTCCTGCCCTCCTCCCACTGGTCAGGGTAGCAACAACATTATGTGGCCAGGGGTGAGCTCTGCCCCCAGGGCTGCCTAACTTCAGCCCTCAGACATGTATACCCATCGGCAGCCCATAGTGAGCCCTGAACTGTCAGGCCACTGGCTAGCAAGGTCCTGAACCCAGGCCCCTGAGATGCCTTGGTGGGCCAGATTACGAGACAAAGGGAAATGGTCACAGAGGGGCACCTACCACCCTCTCCTGGCGGCTCCTGGTGTCTGGGGACTGTCGCACCAGTTGTGGTGGGAAGACCCTCCCCCAAGCCTTAGTTGTTTGACAAGCAGCTGGGGAAAGTTTACTTGATCTGTGGGCAACCTCACGATGGGATGTCCATGCAGGTGTCTGATGGGCAGGGACAGGTGGCGTGCCTATCCTGGCTCTCCCCGCCGTAAGGTCTGCTTGTCTGTCCGCAGGGAATGGGTCCTGTCTTGGCTTCAGGAAGCCCAAGCAGCCTTACCAGTGGCTCTCCTACCAGGAGGTAAGTGACTGAGGCCCAGCCCTGTGCTATGCGCCCGTGCAGATGGGGCCCCTGGGCTGGGGAGGGGCCTGTGAGCGCCCTGCTGGGTCTCACAGCATACTGTTTTATTTTCTGGCCTGTCTAAAAACTTCTGGCAGCAGTCTTGAGGAGCTCTCAGCAGGCCTGGGTGGGGAGCCAGGAAGAATTGTCAGACCTGTAGGACTCCTACGTAGGGCTGTCTCTCCTACTATAGAGTGTTTTCCCATTACCTCCCGTATCTGTGAGCAGGTGGCTGACAGAGCCGAATTCCTGGGATCTGGGCTTCTCCAGCACAGCTGTAAAGCAAGTGCAGATCAGTTTATTGGTGTTTTTGCACAGAATCGACCAGAGGTGAGTATGTTCCCTGCCCAGCGTTAGAGGTATTGGTGGGATAGGGATGGGCGCGTGGAATAGTCCACTCTCACGGGAGAACAGAGGCAGCGCTGGAACATGACACCACCTCACCCAGGCCCACCCTTGCTCAGGAGCGGACCCCCAGCCAAGCAGCCTGCCGCCACCCCTGCTGCCACACACAGCTGCTCCCTGCGGCAGTGGGGAGCCAAGGCATGGTGAGGAGTTGCCATGCAGATCCTAGAAGTGGGCCCAGGCCAGTTTGCGCATGAAATGGAGAAGGTATAGAATTGTGTGGTGTGACTGTGGACCAGAGAGGTTGGCAAGCACAACCTGCTAGCCTTCTGGCTTCCTTGTCACACGTGGAGGTCAGGCACAGGGACCACAGCTGGGCCACTGGTCACCTGGGCCTAAGGGCAAAACAGTCTTATCTCCTTCCGCTGCCTTGTCCTTGTGTTTCCACAGTGGATCATTGCAGAGCTGGCCTGCTACACGTATTCCATGGTGGTGGTCCCACTCTATGACACCCTGGGCCCTGGAGCCATCCGCTACATCATCAATACGGGTGAGCCCTACCGCCATCCCTGTCTGCCGTCGGTAGCTAGTCCCCAGCCCCCAGCCTCTCGGGTTATGCTGATCACGTCATTCTCAAGAGGCCCTCTGCTTCTCTACTCACTTACACTTGGGCTCCTGAGTGGGCTTTCTGAGTCTCAGCTCTCCCCATTTAGGCTTCCCCTAAGGCTCCTGCCCCCTGGCTGGGTTGCCAGCAGCCTCCATACAGGCTGCAGTCCTCTGAGACTTCTGGCAGGCTGACCTCATTACTGGGCAGGGGAAATATCCCAGGCAGACTTGGGGGGGTGGGGGCTGAGCCTGAAGCAAAGAGGAGCTTGGAGTCTGCTCGACAGGGTCCGCTGACCTGCTCTTTATTCCACCCCGCACCCATAGCTCGTGACCCCCATAGCTCGTGACCCCCATAGCTGGCCTCCGTATTTACTGACATACAAGCCGTGGCACGTACAGCCCTTGGGGCCACTGCCTGGCACGTGCTGTTCACAGCCGTAGTCTAACTCCTTTAACAATCGCCACAGCGGACATCAGCACTGTGATCGTAGATGAGCCTCAGAAGGCCGTGCTGCTGCTGGAGCACGTGGAGAGGAGTGAGACTCCGGGGCTCAAGCTGGTCATCCTTATGGAGCCATTTGAGGAAGCCCTGAAAGAGAGAGGGCAGAAGTGTGGCGTGCTCATTAAGTCCATGCAGGATGTAGAGGTAAGAATCTGCTTCTGGGATGTTTGCTGACTGGCGCAAATTCAAATCTGCTGATTATCGGCCCCTCTCGTGCCCTTGGGTGGCGCTTTTTTGGTCCTCAAAAAGTACGAGTGTCATGATGGGGCAGGCTTCGGAAGCCGGTCGTCAGTGCCCATAGGTGTGCTCCAGGGGTAGGCAGTGTGGCTAGTAGCCAAGGGCAGCAGGCTCTGGCTTTGCTAGGTGATGGCATCAGCCTGCAGAGGCACTCTCAGCCTCTAGAGTGTGCTCACTTCCAGCTCACATCAGCCTGCATGCACCTGAGGACTCCAGACATGAGCCCAACAGTCTAGGCAGGGTCCTTCCAATGAGACCCAGATCCCCAGTGGTCAGCAGAGTAATTTGCTTTTGCGTGGCTTCCCCAGAGACATGAAGTTGGTGGCAGCTTGTGGCCCACTAGGGTGGTACAGGGCATGGCATCCTGACCTCTTGAGAGCAGCTGACTACCACTGTGCTCTATTGGATCTGGGCCCCAGGGTTCTCCAGCATTCTTCTGCCTCTGCCTGCTCCTCCCTGTACCTGTAATACCTGTGTCCTGAGGCCCCTCTGTGACAGCAGCAGCACACCTGTGCTGAAGCCCCCCCATCCCCACATCGGGTCCCCAGTGCTGCACGCTCGCCCAGAAGCCACTCTGTTGTGTGTGTGTGCCCAGGAGTACCATGGACACCTTCAGCCCAGAGTGTCCCAAACCCACTGGCATGAGCGCAGGGCCTATCCTCTTAGCCTATGGCTTCTCTCTGTGATGTATGGGGTGAGTCTAGGCCAGTGATGGCGAATTTTTTAGAGCTTTCCATGATACAAACAGCCCACTGCAGCGTGTGTGCCATAGGTTCACCTCCACCGGTCTGGGCCTTCCACGTCTGGGTGTGTGTGGAAGAAGTGCCCTGGGCCTCTGGGCTTGGTGCAAGAGCAAGGCCTGCTGTGCTGAGTGTATTTTGATTTTCTTAGAGAACCTTGGAGCACTTAAAAGCAGTGTTTTCTTCTTTCAGGACCGTGGCCATGAGAATCACCATGCTCCTGTGGTAAGCTAACCTACCAGCAGGCAGGCCGGGCCTGTCCTCACAGGGCCCCTCACCGGGAGGGGGCTCTGTGGAAAGGCCAGACAAGCACCTCCAAGTTAATAAGCAACTCCTGTGTGCACCTCAGGAATGCCCACTTGTGTGCCTGGACTTCAGTGGGCTGAAGGCCCAGGAGGGACCTGGAACAGGAGTCAAATGTTTGGAAGGAGGACAAGAGCACAGCCAGTTCTGACCACCTGTAGTGCTCTGTGACTTTCTCTTGAGAAAATCTTATTTTTGTCTCTGAATGTACTGGACAGAAGCAGCAACAGAACCAGAAGTTAACCCCTGGGCAGAGTGGCCTCTGTTGTCTGTGTCTGTCTTTGCTTTGTGAACTTTTGTGTGTGCCATGCCCGCGTGGTGCTGCCCGGGATCAGGTCACGTGACGATACCTGTCTCCTGGGCTGGGCCATGGGATGTAGAGGCTTCAGGTTTCTAACAGGGCCGCTCTCCAAGTCAGTCCTCCCCGCTCCCTTCGGCTGATGAGCTCTTTCACCCTGGCCTGATCTGGACACAGCCCTGTTTCCCAGAGCCCTTCACAGGTAGCCCTGGGTGTTTGCCGCCTCCCCGTGCCAGGCTCCAGCCCTAGAGAACTGCTCCCTGATTCATCAGCCTGGCCGGCCTCTTGTGCCCAGTCTGATCCTGTCCCACAACTCCCGACCTTGCTTCTTGTGGAGAGATCTTGCTCACCCTTCCAACTCATCTCACATGTCCCCTCCTGTGGAAGCCATTCTGTCCATGCAGATGGGCTCAGTAGGCTCCTTCTGGTCACCCCACAACCGTGTGCCCAGTGTCTAAGCTGGGGCCTGATGCAGAATGGGCTTAGAGTTGCAGGGGCCAGCTCAGTTCCTGTGCCACCCTTGTGCTGCCAAAACGAACCCCAGATACTTGGGAGGAAGGGGGAAGGAAAGAGGGAAGTGGGTCATGGCCAGCAGGGAGGCGAGATCGCGGATGGAGGCCTGAATGTGGCCCCTTCAGCCCAAGCCCATCTAGAACTCAGTGAAGTCCTGCGGCAGGGGGAGCCGTGGGCCCCGGTGTGAGGTTGGAGGGTCAGATCCGTGTGCACACGCTCGGCCTCTTTTCCCCTTTCCTAGGTCATCTACTCACATTTTCGACTGTGGCAGCGCACGGGCACACAGACATTCCTCACACAGCCACACCTGTGTCACGCTCTGTGGGGCACTGCTGGTGGAGAGGTCTGGAAACTGTGGGCCCTGGCAGGTGGTGCCACGTCTCCCTAACAGGCCTCTTTTTGCCCCTGCAGCCCCCACAGCCTGATGACCTCTCCATCGTGTGTTTCACGAGTGGCACAACAGGTAAGCAGAGGCGTGGACACCCGTAGCTTGCCCAGCAGCCTGACAGGTGACTTCAGGTGTCTGGAGCCCTGTACTGTTTTGTGCCTAGCTCTGAACGTTGGTTCCTTCCGCTGCTGCTGGTGTCTGTCACCAGACAGGACAGAAGTGGCCAGATTTGGGGGCTCGGGCTAGAATGGGAAGTGTGGCCCCTTTCAGAGCCACTAGAGACCTGGGCAGCTGGGGGAGGGCTTTCCTCATGGGGTCGTTGCTTTAACCCAAACAGCCTCACTGCTCTGCTCTCTGTGCACCTGGACTTCCGTCATAGGCTGGAGGAGTGTGGGGTTCGGAGTCTGATGGCCTCAGTCTGAGTTCCATCCCCACCAGTTGCTAGAGGGACTTATGAACGCGTCCTTATCCTCCCCGGCTTCTCACCTGGGGAGAGGGGCTGTCAAAGGTGCCAGCTGGGAGATAGAGTGGCGTAAGAGGGCAGTCCAGATGCTCTAATGTGATGGTCGGGAAAAGGACACAGCAGAAAACACAGTCCCTGGCGCAGGCAGAGGGACACAGGTGTCACCATGGGCAGGAGCGGTCAAGGAAGGCTTCTTGGGGAGGCGGAATCTACAGTGTGCCGCTGAAGCTGCGCCTAACCGGCTCCAGGAGCCGTCCCGGCAAGCGGGGCCCTGGGACGGGACCGGGACGTGACCGGGACGGGACCGGGACGTGAGCACTCCTCTCCCAGCTCCCGGTCCAGGGCTCTTCCTGTTCCTGTCGCTCCTGCTCAGCTAACGACTTGGGAAGTCCCTTGCTTTGCTCTAACTGGGCAAGTAGTTTCCAGCCATCTCTTTGCAGTCTGAGGACCGGCTCACCTCTCTGGTAGCTCTTCCCGTGCAGCTGCCCAGCTTCCCTAGGAGCAGGCTCCAGCCAGCCCCACAGGCGGGACTGTCCGTGTCAGTGGAGCACAAGAAATGCAGCTTTATTACGCAGAGATGGACTTCTGCCGTTCATTCAAGTGGGTTTAAAGGTTTGCGCCATACCCTTTGACGGGTCTGGTACTCTTCCAGAAAAGAAATCAAACACCCAGAGCCAACTCAGAATTCAAAACTACCCTCAGGTTTATGTTGCTTTGAAAATAGAGCGTTCCAACGTCTTTTTCACTTGAGTTTCACAGCATGGATTTTTGGTGACATAATTTTGGGAAGCAGGTCACCTGGTGTGGCCTTCAGCTCTGGAACTGTTTTCCAAGAATGCCCAGAGTTTTAATGGGTCACTTGGTCACAGGTGCTACCTTTATGTCTGGAAAAGAACATTCAGATGCAGAAATGTGCTGCTGCCCGGCTGGAGAGGGCAGACGTCCCCGGCTTTGCAGACTGCGGATTCACAGTGGAAAGCTGTGCCGTCCTGCTCACGCTCTGGGCCGTGAAAGCAGAACCTGCGGAGCCTGAAAAACAGCTTGTGATTGGGTGTCCCAAGGCCCTTAATCCGAAGCTACGTCTGTGCCGCGCAGAGCCAGGGCAGCGAGCAGACCTTTGGCCTGACATCACCCTGCTTGGCTACGCTTGGATTTCCTGGGCTTTGGGCTGAGCCTGTGCTGTGCCTCTCGCATTCATTCTCTTGTCAGCACATTCGCCACGTGTGTCCTCAGTGTCACGGTCCCGCTGCGGCTTCCCCGTCGGGCCACCGCTCTGGCTCTCGGCTACGGCAAGGGCCACATCGTTCTTTCCGTGGGGCAAGATGCCAAATACGACCTGAGCCTGACCTTTGGCCGTTGGTTCTGGAGGAACTATTCCAGGGAGATTTCCATCTAGCGTGTGGTGGGAACCTCTGGGAGCTACAACACCGCAGAGCTGTGGGGCCTCTGCTCAGGCAGGAGGGCCAGAGGAGGTGAGAGACTGCTCTGTACCCAGTGATGGCTGGTGGGTGGATATGTGGCTGTTTGTTCTTTTAAAAATAACTATTAACTGAACTGAACCTTAACCCTCCCTTCCAAGAGACGGATTTGTAGGATAATGCAGCCACTTTTGAGAATCTGAGTCCCTTGAATGATAGTTAAGATATTTTAGCTTTAGTTCATATCCATTCTCTTTCTAGAGAGGAAAAAGACAGTGGTCTTATAAAATACGTTCTTCTCACTCTTTTTCTAATTGCTGTTCATTCATTCATCCAGCTTTTTTTTTTCCTTGAGCACCCACTGCCTCAGACCTACCACTGGGGCCGGGTGAGACACAGTTCCACACCCACGAACAGTCAGGCAGTCACAGTCCAGGTGGCCTCCCGCGCTGCCCAGGGCAGCCAGGCTCAGAGACCTCAGAACCGCAGGACCAGAGGAAGCCCACACGAAGTCAACCAAGCAGGCTCCTAAAGACATAGCTGGAGGACAGGAAGGGGAACGGGTGTTCCCAGCAGAGGGAGCAGAGTGCACAGACGACCGGTGGGAAGATAGAAAATGCTGCTGAGACGCTGGGATGCTGGGTGCCAACGACTCTCGCTGCTGTTACATAAGAAAAGGAGAGAACTTGGAAACCTTTCTATATCACGTGCAAAAGGAATGTGGCCAGAGGGTCAGCTCATTCCTGCCAGCCGCTCCCAAGAGTTATTGTCAGTACTCACTTCTTCATCCTGTGGAACCACAAAGACTGGTTACTGGAGGAGAAGTTTATAAAATTGTGTTCATATCTGAAAGACATTTGTTTGTAAGCTTTCTGCATCGTGTTGGAGAGGAAAAGGGCTTATCTGAGCAGAACCGAGTAACCTGTAAAGTATGTGAGTCTGGACTGGGTAGAAGCTTTGGAGATTTCTCTTCCGTGAAGAAAACTTTCTGTTGAGATTCTCAGAAACTGCCACCCTGAGGTTTCTCAGAACTAAAGCTCTGTAGCGTGGGACTCGACTCTGTGACACTTCTGATTCTATACCTACTATTTTGAGAATGTTCTTAGAAACTTCCAGAATCTCAGAATTCACTGGTAAAAACTGCCAGGTGATAAGATACTTTGTGGGTAGCAGCACTGTAGGACTTTTATCTGAAAGACAACTCAGAGAAATTTGTTAACATGGGCCTAGGTTTGAAGAAAGCAGCTGGAATGAAGGACCAGTGGCCGTGAGACAGATCCTGTGACTTTTTTCTTCCCAAAAGGAAGATATTTTAACACTTATCTTTAAAAATCGTGTAACCTCCTGTGTCCTTAGCGGCACCTCTGTGGTTGACAAAACGGGCAAAAGTGCTGTGTGTCTCTTGAATTTAAGAGATGGAACTGTGACCAATCCTTTTGTGTCTGCCAGATGGGTCACCATCAAGTTGAGCCAGTAGGTCTCATGGGATACAATTAGGAGAGCAGCTTTATTTTTATCTGCATCTATTCCTGTAAACTCGCTCAGTGAGAGTGGTTGTTTCTCTGCTCCCAGATGAAAACATAGGTGTTGGGGCTGGAACATTTCATTAAGGCCGGTCCCGCATGGTGGGGAACACCTCCCGTTTCCTCTTCTCTTTTCTGCTGTTTCTCCTCTCCTGACCTTGCTAATGGAGGTTTCTGCACTCTCCCCCATGGCGCAGTAGAGATGGAGAAGAAGTGAGTAGGATCTAAAAGCTGGGATATGGTTTTGGGCAAATGTCTCAAACTTGCCCTGTTTTTGATGGCTGCCTTTTGGAGTTATTCTGCTGCGAGCAGAGCCCTCCCTGGCCTGCCTGCTCCCTCCTCTGCGTATAACTGACTGCCTCCCTGCTTTTGTTTCTTGGTGGGAGGTGTCCTTTGGCCTTGTGAACAGATTCCTTCTGATCACATCACTACTACTACACCCTCAAACTGATGCTCCTTCCGCAGACACCACAATTTGTCCCTGGGGTTCCTCGGCAGTGGCGATGGTTGTTTTTAATCACTAGTTTCTTCAGTGTTCCCAGCTGCGCAGTGCACATTTGGGCTCCTCAGGTGATCCTATGAGATTCTGAGTCAGTGGATTATATTGGACTGGGAAAAAGGATCCGTCCCTCCTCTCCTTCCAATGGGCTATAGGAATCAGCATGGCTGTCTCCAAAGAAAGAAATCTCCTTCAGTTACTTTTTCTCTGTCTCTCTCTGTCTTCCTTTTCCCCCTTTCTCTGTCTCTCTCTTGTCTCTGTCTTTTCCTCCTTCTGTCTCTCTCTCCCTTTCCCTCTCCCTCTCCCTCTCCGAGGTAAAATTCACATAGCATAAAACTAACCCTTTAAATGGATTGTTTGTTTATGCTTAGCTTTTGAGACAGACTCTTAGTATGTAGTTCAGGCTGGCCTTGAACTCACTATGTAGCCCAGGCTGATCTCAAACTCACAATGATCCTCCTGCCTCAGCCTCCCAAGGGCTAGGATTATGGGTGTGCACCACCACACCTGGCTAAACTGAGTATTTATACAATGCTGTTTTAGTCTCTACTCGCTTAGCACTTTTGTGTGTGTGTGTGTGTGTGTGTGTGTGTGTGTGTGTGTGTGTGTACTGGGGATTAAACTTGGACCTTGTGCAGTTGGTGGAAACACTGAGCTAAATCCCTGGCCCTCACTTAGCACTTTTATTCTTTCCTCTGGGCAAGCGTTGCAAAGTTAACATATGGAGTTATTTGATATTTCCTGCTCAATTCTTCATGTGGCCTTGCCCCTTGCATTTGGAGTTTCACAGTAATTGTGCCTGTTGCCTCGGTGGAAATGTCTGCTCTAACTTCTTTTTTACATGGGCTCTATGCCCAGACCCATAGCAGTCCTTCGAGATGGGCATTGTTAGCCCTGGTCTAAAGGTAAAGGAACTCAGATAGGAGATGTGGCTCACTGATGCCCTGGTGGCTCGGCATTGAGCCCTTTTAGATCCTTCCAGCAGCAGCTTCAATGTCGTGTGCCTTGAGACGTGAGTGGGTGGCCCTGCTGGGCCCTGGGCCCGACCTGCCTCTGTCCTCAGTCATGCAGCAGCCTCTGGCCGCCTCAAGCACCCTGAGGACCAGGCCTCAGGACCAGTAACAAAAGGTCGTTAAAGCAAAGCAAGATGCTCTTCTGTGACAGGAGCAGGCAGGAGGGCCTGCCCCACCCAGTGAACCTTTCCAGCTGCAAGAAAGACTTCTGCCAGCAGATGGCGCCCTACAGGCCTAGAGAGCTGAAGCCCTGGGCATCAGTCGGTGAGGGCGCAGGAGGCCCAGAACCAGGGCTCCCTGAGGGAGGTGCAAGCGTGTAAAGTGGCACGTGTGGGAAGCTCTTCAGTCCTTGAGACACCCAGCTGGCCAGCCGTGTCACTTCCATCCTATCCCAAATTGCCGGACTCTTGTGGGCTCTGAGGGGCTCTGACAGAGGTGAGGTCCGTGTTACAGCACGCATCTGCCTCAGACTCTGAAGGTGGCTGCAGACAAAGGCCAGAGGCCTAGTAAACAGCCTGGCACTTGGGAATGCCAGTGTGTTCTCAAGGAGCGATCCTCGGGCTCCCAACTAATTCCCCTTCTTCTGTTTTCAGGGAACCCCAAAGGTGCGATGCTCACCCATGGGAACGTGGTGGCTGATTTCTCAGGCTTTCTGAAAGTGACAGAGGTGAATAAAGTCAACTTACTATACAGTAATATGTTTTTGAGGACAGCTTCAAGCCTCAGAGGGCTTCATTTTTAATTTTTTTTTCCTGATAAAATATGCCATTCGTGGGCAGGAATTTCTATTCTCGATAGACCAATCCCATTTTTACAGCTGCTTGTAACTCCAAACACTGAAATAATCCATAAGCAACAAACATTCAGTTGATTTCTAAGAATGCTAAGATTCCAGGAAAAAAAAGCATGTAAACCTTTTTTTTTTTTCGTTTTCAACTTCAGAAATTGAGATACTCTTGCTTGTATGTATGTGTACCTTTATTTAGAAAGTTATCCTTAATAACTTGTTCTTCAAGTAGGTCAGGGTTTAATTCAGTCATTTTGTGTTTAAGGACTACTAGAGTCTGAGAAACCACGGCAACTGCTAATTTATAAGGCTGTACTTAAAGGTAACTCTAAAATCAAAAAAAAGCTTGATATCTTGGCCTGACAAAAGAATGTTAGTGTCTTATAACCGGCTAAGAAAGGAGGACCTCTCCCTTGCGTGGTGAGTATGTTCTGCAGTTTCCTTCAGGAGAAAGGAATGTACCTTTCGTAGCAGTTAGGCTTTTTGTGGAGAATCTCTCTCCACATGCATGCTAGATGAAATTGTGGAGCATCTGCCCCCCAAACCCTGTCACACTTTGGCAGAAAACTCTGAGGGTGGTTGGTGGCTGAGCCCGGATTAGGGGCCATGACCATTCCCCAGGGTTTGTCCAGACTGGCCGATGAGGCAGGCAGGAGAGCAAAGGCCTCTGTGATAAAGGCTGAGACCAGGGAGCCTTGGGAAGGGGCGCTTCCTCGTGCAGCCCCACCTGGCCAGAGCAGCACCTGTGCCTGAGTGTCTGAGGGGCTGGGGCCCCTCTGTTTGCCCCAAAGGCCCAGTTCCAGGCTGTGGACTGTTGAGAGCGGCTTCAGCCACCTTTCTAGACTTGGCCTTGTCTCCTCCTCTGTTCCAGGCTCGTACCCCTGCCTCAGCTGGCACAGGCCTGGGGCTCTCTGGGCTCCCTTCTCTAAGGAGGACCAGAAAATGCTGACAGGCCAAGGCCCTCTCTCTCGGGAGGCCTAGGGAGGCTGGGGAGCAGGGTCTGGGGCAGATCCTACAGTTGGGGGCGGAAGGGAGGAGACCAGGCTGCACTGACTGACTGCAGACGAGGCGTAGGCCCTCCCTCAGGGAGACTTCTGGGAGCCTGACTCTGCCAGTTTATGTGTGCTTCATTGGGCTCTTTGCTTCTGCAGATAACCTAGACCCGCTGGCGCTGCGACCTAACACTGCGCTTCCTATGCTGCCCTGTCTCTCCTTTCTCCTCTCTGCGCCTTCCCCCCTCCCTCGTTTTTTTCTCTCACTCTGTCATCTCACCTCTTTTTCGGTCCTCATCTGTCCCATGCCCTTTGGCCCTCTTCCTGTTCGCCCCTCCAGGACCATTTTCTCTTTATTGTTTGATGACTCTCTTGTTGTCTTCCTGTCAGTGTTTCTTTCCTTTCTGTCTCCCATGCCCGTCACCTGCAGAAAGTGATCTTTCCGAGACAGGACGATGTGCTCATCTCCTTCCTGCCTCTGGCTCACATGTTTGAGAGAGTGATCCAGGTAAGACGCCCGCCTGACTGACTGGGACTTGCCTGGGCTCCTTCTGTTTTCTTGCAGAGTCAGTGGGCTCCCACTTGTGCGGATGTGCACTTTTCCTATTTGCCTTTAGCACACATGTTTGAGCGAATGGTGCAGGTAAGGCCCTGGCATCAGGGAGGCACAATCTGTGCCTAGAACCCATGACCCTAGCAGGGTGTCACCTGTCACGGGTAGTACGGAGTAGGACCAAAACGCCCTATCCTTGGAAGGCACCACAGGGGCTGGAGGGGCCCGAGCACCTGGGACAGGCACCTGCCCCTCGGGAAGCGTTGCTCCAGGAAGGCCCTAGAGCCGGCCCTGTCCCGCCCTTGGACACACACGGGCGGCATCTGCTCTGAGAGCATTGCGGCTCTACAGTGCTGCACTACTATGCAGCTCCACGCGTGTTCCAGCCCACATGCCTGTTCCACAATTCTCAGAAGTCCAGACTCCTAAAAGAGCACAAGAGTAAAGTCTAGAACCAGACTGTGGCTGTTCGGCTGAAGATGGAGACTGCTGTCAGAGCTCCCTGAGACAGGGCTTGTAGGGCTATGAGGACAGTGGAGGGAGAATCTCTGTGTGATTGTGGGAACCAAGCACTCGTGTAGGTCACTCCGGGGAGCTGCCTGCCAATGAACTGGGAAAGATGTCTTTTAAGCCGCCCCCTTCTGCCTGAGGGGCACGCTTCCCTGGGTTGCAGTGCTCTGCTGTCAGCCTTGTTTTGTGAGCCTGGACAAGTCACTTCTTTCTCCGAGCTTTGCTTTCCTCGCCTGTGAAGTGGCGATTAGGAAGACTCCCTCTTTCGTAGGGTTGTGTGAGCGCTGAGTAAAAAAGCACATAGAGCCCCTGGTGGGCTCCCAGTCCCGTTAGCACCCAGCCAGGCTGCTCCTTGGCCTCCTACCAAACAGCACCCACAGACAACTGTCGCAGCAGCTGCTGTACCCATGGGATGGCACATCCTTCCACAACTGCAGAGATGTCCCTGGACGATCCAGATTCTCTGGGACCTGGAGCAGACCCAATTATAGGGTACAACACAAATCAGAGACCTGAGCTCCTAGGGAGGCCCATCTCCAGGGTTTGGAAGTTGGTGCGAGGGGGCAGGCACATCGAGAATGGGTACTTTAGGCTCTCCCAGTAGCTCAGCACTGTGCTGCTGCCGCTTCTCGCTGTGCCCGAGTGGGACTTGGTGTGAAGGCGGGGGGTGGGGACTTCACCCCGATAGCATTCTTCAGAGTCTCATGACCGCAGCCGGAGCTGGGCTGGGCTGTGGGTGCCCTCCACAGAGAACAGAGCTTTGGACAGCTGAACTGCAGCCAGGAGTGACCACCTTAAGGGCTTCCTCTCTTCCTTCCAGTCTGTTGTCTACTGCCACGGAGGACGCGTTGGCTTCTTCCAAGGAGACATCCGCCTCCTCTCGGATGACATGAAGGCTCTGCGCCCTACCATCTTCCCTGTGGTCCCACGACTGCTGAACCGGATGTATGACAAGGTGAGCCCTACAGGAGTCTGCAGCCAGGCTGCATATGTGGAGCACAGGGCAGCTTTCCACACTTCCATGCTGAAAGTTGCCTCCTCTTTTAGATTCCCTCTCTCTTACTCTTACTTCTGTTTTCTTCCTCTTTTCCAAACCCTGTTCGGAGAGAACTTTTTCAGGAACATTTGTACAATGTACCTAGAACTTGGTAGTGTTAACCTTCAGTTTGACGTTACACATCGGTGACCTCCTGAATGCATATCTTTTCTGCTTGCTAGTCAAGGCCTTTGACTTGGGGACATTTCTAGAGGTTAAGATGTACAGGTCCTGACAGCTTTTTCTGCCTTGTGTTCCTCAGATCTTCAGTCAGGCAGACACTCCGCTAAAGCGTTGGCTCCTGGAGTTTGCGGCAAAACGCAAGCAAGCTGAGGTCCACAGTGGAATCATTAGGAATAATAGTATCTGGGATGAACTCTTCTTTAATAAGATTCAGGTAAGGAAAGTAATGAGTGGTTATTAAATGACACCTGTGACCAGCGGGTGACCTTATAGGGGAGCTAAAGTTTATTCCGGTGGCCTGGAACCTTGTGAATTAATAGCTCTTATGTTCTTGAAATCAAACCTTAAGGTACCATAGAATCTTGAAGGGGTCATTTTTTTTTTTTCAATTTTGTGGAGATATGTTCTACTCGCCGGAAGGCAACCAGCATGAAGGGCCCCCGGAAAACAGACCCCTGACCTCCACAGGCATCAGAGTAGCTTTGTTCTTGGGTGTCCAGGTGTTTTGGTCCACGTAGTTGCCTCTGGGCCTGAGCATTCTCTTTCCCTTCCCTGCAACCCTGGCCCCAGTGACTTCCCAGCAGCCCCAGGTTGTAGCCGACTGGCTGGGACCCTTTTCCTCTCACTTCCTGTCCGTCCAGCCCCTCCCAAGCAGGCCAAGTCAGAATTACTCACTTCTATATCTCCACCAAAGTCTCCAGGCTCTGCATTACCCAAGGAATCTGTAGTTAATTAGTAGCATCACACATTTTTCTTGCTACTGTATTTTTAGCTCTAAAAATTAATATTTAAACTCTTAGCTCAACTTACGGAAGCAAAGTGTTTCAAGTATCCTTTGTCCTCTGCAGTACGTAGTGAATACAGCATGGTATTGATTTAGACAGGAAACAAAGGCAGTGCCATTCAAAGGGAAGTTGGAAGAAAGTGTCCTCAGTAATTGTTTTGGACGCTTGTGAATGATGAGTGACAGGGCAGCAGTATATTCTAAGAAAGGAGAACCCGTATTATAGAGTGCTGTGTGGGCTAATGCTACGGTCCTATCTCAGAAGGCGTAAAGGAGCTGGTTATATTGTGGGCAAATGGCAGAGCTCATCAGGCTTAGCAGTCAGAGGGGGAAAGGACTTCCCAGCTCATGGCTGTCTCTCTCGGATCTGAGCCTGAGCAACCCGGTCAGGTCCGGTTATGGAACTGGACCGAGAGTGAGGCTGAGATGGGCCAGACACCACCTTGGTCACCGCGGACATTCTCCTGTCTTCTCCCAGGCCAGTCTTGGTGGGCGTGTGCGAATGATTGTTACTGGAGCGGCCCCTGCCTCGCCAACAGTCCTGGGATTCCTCCGGGCAGCTCTGGGGTGCCAGGTATTGTCATGTGTGACCTGTTCTGGGGACAGCGGGGCCTGTGTCAAGCCCTCCACTGTCATACCCTCCACTGTGTAGAGAAAAATCCCAGGGGCACGATTTTTGTGGGATGAAAGGTCCTGCTTCCAAGGATTAAAAAAAAAAAAAAGGTTCTGGAGCCCCTGAAAGCCGGGATGGCCTTGCTGCCTCCTGGAAAGCCTGTGTGTGGCCAGGCATGGTAGTGCAAACTGACAGTCTCTGCACTCTGGGAGACTGAGGCAAGCCCGAGTTTGGGAGGGGAATGAGAAGTAGAAAACATCAAGATGCGATAGGTACATGGCCATGGTAAATGTATTTATTATGTATGTCAGATGTACACTAGTAAAAAAGAGAAGAAAAAAGAAAAGAGCTCGAGCCCAGTCATATGTAGTGGCTCTGTCCCGAAATAATCAAAACAGATCTGGGGATGTAGCTCAGCATGGAGGCCCTGGGTTTATTCTCAGCGCCAGACACACACACAAAGCCTATGTGTGTGCACTCTGGAAAATTCTTTTTTGCCTGGGCCCTTGGAAGTTTATAACAAAGGGGAAAGGGATTAGGTAAACTGCCTAGAAATCATCAATGTGCTGGAGAATCCATACCACCCCTGTACATTCTCCAGCTTACAAAATGTCTCCCAACTTAGAACCAGGAACACAAGGTAGAGCGTGAAATCCCATTGGATTGTTTCAAGTAAAGTAAACAGTTCTGTGGCACAATTGTGTATGCTTGAATTTTTATGATTTAGAATCCATGAACTTCTTACACTATCCTCTTATTCCACATTGCCATGGCCTGACCAATTCTAAAGGTTGACTGTCCTAAATTCATGGCAAACAGGAGGGGCTCTGGAGGGGAGTATATTATAAAGACAAAATTAAGCATGGAGTAAATTTTAAACTGCTTATTATTAATACGTATTATTCAAATGAAAAAGAAAGTCAGTGACTGAACACAAGTCAGAAATCTTTATCCCAAAGAACATAACCTTATCTACTAAGTGTCTAGGTGAAAATACCACCTCCTACCCAGCAAACAGGGCTGTGCTGTCTGTGCTCAGCTTCACCTGGAGCTCCCTACCTCCACCCTCCCATGGCCTCAGCAGGGAGCAGCCAGAGTCAGCGGGCGGGTGTGTGCCAACAGTGTGGTTTCCATGTTTTGCTTGAAGGTTTATGAAGGTTATGGCCAAACTGAGTGTACAGCCGGATGCACCTTCACTACCCCTGGAGACTGGACATCAGGTAGGATGGACTAGAGATGTGGGAATGACACAGAGCTACTCTGAGTCAAAACAGCAAGCTCTAAGAGTCCCGCCTAGAAAGTGAATTTTCATGAGCTTTTTGGGGGGAAAAAAGCAAAAGAAATAGCGGAAAAGTACATTAGTAGTGGTTATGTCTGGGTTGTGATAGTATGGATCTGCTGTTTTGGTATAAATTTTTGTATTTTCCTATTTTTCTTTATAGACAAATAGAAGTTACACACATACAATCACAAGATACAAAATGCTCAGCATATGAACACTGGATTTTATAGGCTGTAGATACCATCCTATTGGAGGTCTCTGCAGTAGGTTACAGTCTGTTGCCCAATGTACAATATTCTTTCAATTTAGTATCCACTAAAGGGCTGAAGAAAGACTCAAAGGCAGAATTAAAGTAGGGAGCCAGGACGGCCAGTGCTTAGCAACCAGCAAAGGCCCTGGTTAGTCAAAGCCACTGATTTTTTGTTTTTTGTTGTTTTGTTTGGGGGTGGGTTTTTTTGTTTGTTTCTTTGTTTTTGTTTTGTACTGGGGATCAAACCTGGGACCTTGTGCTTACAAGGCAGACAGCAGAACCACTGAGCTAAATCCCTGGCCCTCCAAGCCCCTGATTTTTATTGGTAATCAGGTCGGGTTAAAGGGGAAAGTGTGTGAGGATGTGCAGTTGTGCAGCTGCTATGGATACTAATTCAGGCAAGGCAGGTGAAGGAAAAGACAAAAGCATTCTTGAGTTAGGAACAGAATGGACAAAATATAGGGGTGTCATTAGAACCTTGTCCTGCTACGTAAGAAGGTTTTGGTCGTGGGAATGGAATTTGGGTGTGAGTTACTCTGACCTCGGCTACTGTGTTATCTCGTATTGGCCCTGCAGCCTCACAGGCCATTTTTCTGGTCTCTTCTGTGGCCGTTGGTGGGAAGGTCCTGGCACCCTACGCGTGACTGCAGTCCCTGTGAGGTGCTTCTGAGTCACGTGAACTTCATTCAGACTCGCTTCTTAAAATGAGCCAATTGCAGGCTTAAATCGTTTCAGCCTGCTCTGGGCGTAATCAATAGGATGGTCCCCTATACCACCCAACCTTGCTCAGACTTGTTTTAGAACTGTTTTTTAGAATCTAAGCAAATTGAATTGGATATGACTTGTAAAGGAGGAACAAGTTCATAGCAACCAAAAACTGCCTCTTAAAGGGACATTTCGAGTGCCCTTTGGGAGCTGTGGCTTCTGTGATATTAATATGTAGAAGGCAGTGGCAACTTCAGAAAGGAGCTTCTCCCTGCCACATGATTGTCCTCAGGGGATCCGTCCTTCAGGTCGGGAAGTAGGACTGGAGTGAGTAGCCCATGGATTGCCCATCATCACATCTAGTCCAGATTCTGGGAGCATCTGAAAGATACTCAGCGCAAGAATCCTTCAGGGTACCACCCTCCTTTGTGAGCCTGGGACCGCTCTTTGTGCTTAGGTTTGCTCAGCTTACAGCTGAAAAATTTGACCTGATGGGCACACACACAACAATATGCTCATAAGTGCGATACAATTTTCAGATGCCTAGACTTAGTAGAAACGTGATATGTGGATACTAAATTGAAAGAATATTTGGCCAAGTCAGGTATGGCAGCTTTTTAATATACATTTTCTCTCTCTCTAAACTCCATGTGGATAAAGGCTGCTTCGTATATACACCCTCTGATCACTTTCCCACTAGCAGATCTCCTTCAAGAGCCATCTTGGAAGGTCCTGGCTCACTAATTTTTATTTTTTCTTATTGCTACCAGCATATTGACCAACTGTTCAGTGTATCTGCTTCCTTTTGGTCCTTTCCTTATCCTTTTTTTTCAGCTTTAATTGAGCTTATTGGTACTATTTTAGGGATACAGTACAGTTACATTCATTGTTGGGGTCTTATACCTCTATATGACAGGTCTTGGCTCTGATTTTTTCCCCTTACCCCTGCCCTCCCTTCACCCCCTCCTCCCCTCCCCATCTACAACCATTTTATTTCCATCTTTTCATTATCTCACATTTTTTTCTTTTCCCTTTTTACCCTTCCCCTACCCATCCCACCTTCCCTACACCTTTAGCTCCTTTCTTCCCATTTCTCAATGTCAGTAATCATTTTAGGATCTTCTGTATTATTGCAGATTATTCACACCAGAGAAACTATTTGGTATTTACACATGTGTGCCTTATTTATTTCACTTAGGAGTATATCTTCAATATGTATCCATTTTCCTATGAATGAGTCTATTTTCTCATTCTTTATGGCTGAATAATATTCCATTTTATAGAAAAACTACATCTTCTTTATCCATTTTCCAACGGATGGGCAAATGGGCTGTTTCCAAGTTTTAGCTATTACAAACTGTGCCGCTATAAACATGGGTGCACATACTTCTCTGTGATATGATTCTTTTAGTTCTTTTGGAAAGATACCCAGCAGAGGGATGGTTGGGTCAAATGGAACCTCCAGTCCAAGCTCTTCGAGGTGTCTCCATATTGATTTCCATAGCGGTTGCACCAGTCTGCACTCCCACCAACAATGGAGAAGGGTTCCTTTCTCCCCACAACCCCGCCAACATTTGTTATTGATTGATTTCTTGATAGCAGCCATTCTTTGTGGGGTGAGGTGGAATCTCAGTGTTGTTTTCATCTGCATTTCTCGACTGATCAGTGATGTGGAACATTTTTTCATATACTTCTTTATCTGAGAAATGCCTGTTCATTTCGGATGCCCATTTTTGAATCGGGTTTCTTATCCTTTTTTTAATGTCATCCTCTACATTTTCCTGCTTAAACTATTTAATTTTTAACAGAAACCACAGTGTTACATAGCCTTTTTTGTCATATACAATACCTAGCTCATTTTTCTTTCAGGACCTTGGCCAGCACCTGGCTAAAACTCTTCAGCCTACCAGTGAATTAGCTAACAGTCCCAAGGACTAGAGAATGACTTAGATATAATATTGGGTTTTGTTTTGTTTTGTTTTGTTTGAGACAGAGTCTCACTACACAGTTGAGACTGACCTGGAATTCACTACGTAGGCCAGGCTGGTCTCTAACTCACAGCGATCCTCCTGCCTCAGCCTCCCGAGTGCTGGGATTACAGGCATGTACCACCACGCCTGCCTTGAAGTCTTATTTTTGGGCGGCAAGTAAATTCAACTTGGTTTTCTATTTCTTTGTTTCTCAAAGTATAGTGTGTAGACCAGTGGTATCAGCATCAGCATGGGGCCTATAAGAAATGTAAAAGCTCCTGCCTCATCCTAGATCTACTGAATCAGTAGCCATGATTCAACATGATGTCTAGGTCATTCTGATTCACATTAGTCAATAGTCCATTGATGAGAGGAAACCAAACTGTAATCTGACAATGGGGAAGATGTTTCCCTGTGGGCGCCGTGGTAAAACTGACCACATGGTTGGTATGGGTGTAAGGCTTCCGTCTCACCCAGGGCCTCTGTGCGCTTTGATGCAGGGCCAGGTGTGCCTGACTCGCTCATTTACAATCAAATGTAAGCAAAGGTGAGGCAGAGGTCGGCCTTTGCTTTCTCCAGAAATGTGTTTTATCACTGGTGCTTGCCTGGGACAAATGCCTGTCTTGAGGTATGTTGTTGTCCACCTGTACCTCCCCATTTTACTCGCTTAGGGGCTTTACAGGGTGTCAGGCATCTGCGGTACTGAAACTAATCTGAACACTCAATAATGCCATCTCGCTGTGGTGTCCTAGGTCATGTAGGAGCACCTCTGCCCTGCAACCATATCAAGCTTGTCGACGTGGAGGAACTAAACTATTGGACCCACAAAGGAGAGGGCGAGGTAAACCTAAAGATTTTGCTATTTGTGTCTGTGGATGCTACACATAGTGAGTAAAAACAAAGCAACAAAATCATGGGAGGTATTTTTATTTTCACCTTTCATATAAAATCATTAAAATGACTGATTAATTTGATTAAGCCAACACCGAATGCTAAATTAAGACTTTAAATTTCTAAACTGTAAAAAAAAAAAACTCCATGTGTTTTCCTGACCATAGCGTGCCCTACCGCTGTATCATCTGCCCCGGAGAAATGTGGCCACCTACAGAGAGGCCAGATGGGGTGGGCTGAGCTGGCCTGTGCTTGCTCCTTCCTCCACTGTGGGTGAGCAAGCTGACTGCCCAGTACTGCAGCAGGGGACGCAAGCTTCTCTGTAGAGTCAGCCAGCCACCCGTGTCTGTGATGAGACCCTATCAAGTGTCACAGAGCACCATGTGGCCAAGGACAGAGCCCTCCTGAGGAAGAAGAGAGGGCATAGGAAGCATTTTGGCCCGGGCGAGGAGGAGACTGCTTGAGAGAAGGGAGGAGACAGTTGGGAAGGCAGATATGGCTGGAAGCTGTTCCTTGTCCTCTCGTTTCCTTTGCCACAATATCCACGGCGGCTCTCCAGATGGCAGTGTCCCTTCACCTCTGTGCGCCCGGTGACAGCCTCCCATCCCTGCCTTGCTTGCACTGTGACTGAGAGAAGCCGTGGTGTTTGTTCCCACAGATATGTGTGAGAGGACCAAATGTGTTCAAAGGCTACTTAAAAGACCAGGAGAGGACGAAAGAGGCCCTGGACAGTGATGGCTGGCTTCATACCGGAGACATTGGGAAGTGGCTGCCGGTATGTTCGTTTGGAATCACGGAGCGCCACGTATTTTGGTGACGCCAGCATATGTGATCGAAGCAGGAGTCTGTTCCATATCTTGCCTGACAGTTATTCGTTCAAGAGGCCTCTGGGTATCATCAGGAGGTTCATGCTTACCTGGCCCCCACAGCATCCTCTTCTCTCTCCACCTGATGAAGGTGATAAAAACCCGTGTGGGAAGATCTACCTGGTGTGTCCGTGCTCTGTTGCTATGGCCAAATACCTGAAAATTTCAGTTTAAAGGAAGATTGTTTATTTCAGCTCACATTTCAGAGGCCTCAGTCCGTGCTCAGCTGGCTCCATTGTTTCTGGACCTGTGGAGAGGCCAGAATATCATGGTGGCAGGGTGTGGTGGAGGAAAGTTGCTCACCTCGTGGAAGCCCAGAAACAGAGGGAAAGAGGGAGAGAAAGAGCCTCTGTTGGCCTGCTCCATCCTCCTCCTGCTTTTGCTTCATCTGGACAACCCTGTTTGTTCGATGGTACCACTCACATTCCGTTGGGGTCTCTCCCACATGCCAGGCATCTCTGGAAACACCAAGAAGTACTTTACTGATTAATTTCCCAGCTATTTTCTCAGTCCAATCAGGTTGACAGTCAAGATTAGCTGTTATAGCTGGGCTCATGGAAATCAACCCCCTTTTCTTAATAGTTTCCAGAAGGTGCTCTGGTACAATGTAGAGTCTGACAGTGAAGTAGAAGGAGGCATCTATCTCTGGGAGGTCTGGGAAGGGCATACATTCCGGGACCCAGCCAAGAGACGGCACTGTGCAGGTGCAAAGCTTGGAACTGGGTAGAAGGATGCCTCGGTCCATTTTGCTTACAGCCTTGAGCAAAGCCCATTCCTCTCTTGGGCCTCACACTGGTGTACCTATGGGAAACAGAACAAGCTGTCGCAGCATTTGGCTATGGCCCCTGACTTTTAGCTCAAATCAATTAGCCTCACTCTGATGCTTTTAAAGCAGGGCCTATCCAGTTGTCTACCTCTACAGCTATTTTTGTGAGAAAGACTATACCCGTATAGTATACGGCACTTAGTGCATTGCTGGTGCGTAAGAGATACTCACGTGAATGCTTTGGTCGGAAAAATGGGTCTGACACTGACCCCAAGAACCTTCGATTAGTGCAGCCCGACTAGGTAGCCTCTTGTATGTCTCCGGGAATTGCTGAGGTTCCGTTTGGACACTTTGAGGCTCCGAGTTCGTCAGGTACACGAGTACGGTGTTGAGCCCCAAGCCCGTGCCTGTGAGCTGGTGGGGCAGTTTGCCCCAGCGTGGATCTGTGTGCTCCCTTTGGGAAATGTCGTGCCTGTGGCAGACAAGGATACGCACCCTCAGCCAGGGATCCTGCTCAGGAAGAGACGTCTTTGGCAGGTCCCAGCCCAGCAGGGTCACCATGAGCCGGGGCTCACTGACCTGGGGAGAGGCAGAGGGAGGACAGGCACCCACTGGATGGTCATGTTCCAAGGGGCAAAGAGAGAGCGCGGACAATTGGGCCAGGTACTAGAGCGTGCTGAGTAGAGATATTAGGAGTATAAAGTGAGCCGTTCTAACTGTAGCCCATGAGAGGAGAGAAGAGAGGCTGGCGAGGGCAAAGGGTCCTGAAGACCTGCGGCAGACAGATTGTCCATCAGTAAAGAGGCCTGGCCTTCAGGGCCTGTCATTTGCATGAGGCCCTCCACTTCATTCTGTATTTTTTTCTTATAAAAGGCCCTCAAAATTATAAAAGCTTGAAGCCTCATAAAACTCTAGATCTTCCAGGCACAATAGCAGATGCTTGTCATCTCCGCTACTTAGGGGGCTGTGGCAGGAGGGTCTCAAGTTTGAGGCCAACCTCGGCAACTTAACAAGACCTTCTCTCAAAAGAAAAATTTTTTAAAAAGCGGGTAAGGAACCACAAGTTCAGGCCCAGTCTGGGCAACTTAGCAAGACCCTGCCTCAAAGTAAGAAGTAAAGAAGGGTTAAAGATGCATCATGTTTTTGTTTTATTCTATGTTTGTATAAATTCATCTGTTTTTGTACTAAGAACTCTCTCTTTTTTTTTTTTTTTTTTTTTTTTTTTTGGTACCAGGGTCAAACTTGGGACCTTGCACTTACGAGGCAGGCAGTGGAACCACTGAGCTAAATCCCCAGCCCTTAAGAACTAATGTTTAAATGTTGCTTGTTATGGTAGGACTTTTTGATGAAACTATACTTAGCATTTCCAAACTGTACATACTGTATGAAGCTTGTCTTCTGAAGGGGTTTCTTATTTCTATATGGAATTTCATAGTTTGTAGTGTCCTATAAATAAAGATTAAATTCCACCTTTAAAGAAAAAAGCCCAGAGTTCAATATCTAGTGCAGCATAAAAAACAGAGAAAAGACCTGGAGGTGTAGCCCAGTGGTAGGGCACCTAGATTTGCTGCTAGTGGTGAACTGGACAAAGACCATCTATCATGGAGGGCGTTGGGAGAAACAGGTGAAGTAACTCATCCCAAGAGCCTGGCGTGCTCAAACGCAGGCCCAGAATAGCAGGTACATAGCCTTGAGATCAGTTTTGAAAGTTATGATTTCCCTAAAACTTAAGGCTATACTTTAAGTATTGCTATAGTTGGTAACTAGAGAAGTTTCTCTGATCATCGTGTAGAGTACCAGAAACCACGAGGAGGAGGCGCAGTGTTCCTTCCTGAGCGGGAAGCCAGCTCTTGGTGTTGCTTTGCTGCAACTGCTACTAGCAGTTGATTATTCTTGTTCTTCCCCGGGGGTGGGGGGACACAGTCTGAGTGAAACAAACAAACAAACAAACTTGTGTTCAGCCTTTCCATTTATACTCATAAATGGGATTGAGCTTATAATTTTCCTTTTATATAGAACTCTACTATGGTTTTGGTGTCAACTTATGGGTGAGGTTTTGCTTTGTTTTAACCACGAGAAAGTATTGCTGGGCATGGTTACATACATCGGTGATCCCAGCACTCTGAGAGGCCAAGGCAGGAAAATCTCAAGTTCAGCCCAGCCTGAGCAACTTAGAGACTTAGCAAGACCCTAAAATAAGGCGCTCGGAATAAAAAATTAAAAAGGGATGGGGATGCAGCTCAATGCAAGGGTTCAGTCTCCAGTACCCCCACACACACGCAAAGTTTGAATGATGCATTCTTATAATTTAGGTAGAAATCATCTATAAAGATATTTGTGCCTTTAAAAATTACCATTATTTTATTGTATAAGATAACAGCAATGACAGTGGTGCCACTGCCTGCCACGCAAGCGCAAGGTCCTGAGTTTGATCCCTGGTATACCCTCCCTGCAAAAATATCAATGAAAAGACATAGTCTTCTAATGTAGAGAGACCTGGATTCAAATCCGGATTTCCCTACTTCTAGCTGTGAGGCTTTGGAGGCCTTAGCCAGCCCTTCCAGCCTCCTCCTCCTGTCAGTGACAATGCTGTCAGGTCACAGTGAAGACCAGAGCAGTGAGTGTAGGGCGAGTGCCTGACGTCCCTCGGCCCTGGGTTTTGAGCAGAACAAGGCCTGCTCCTTTCTTCCTGCTGGAGAGAGAGCTGTGGCTGGGGGAGCACAGGCAGAGGGCGACAGAGTTCTTTGGGCCTGGTCAGGCTGTGATTCAGCTGGGAGAAAGTGGACAAGAGAGGGCGGAGTGAGAGCGGGTGAGCCTGAGGCTAACACCTGGAGGCAGGCAGCGAGGGGCACCGGGTCTGGGTGACCACGGGCCTCGTGGGGCTGGAGGGTGGTGGGGAGCATTGTGCAGGGCGCGGTGGAGCCTCCGAGGGAGGCGAGCGAGGGCTTGGGGGACAGAGCGCTGAGACCGATGCGGGAGGTGACTGGCCATTCCCACACGGTGCCTGATCAGATGTGCGAAAGGCCACACTCCAGGGTCGGGCCAAAGGCACAGGCCCATCTCTCTGACTGCCTCAGAAGCTCGAAGGGTTAAGGGGCATCACGGAGGTGAGTAGGGGTCCTGGAGGCCCATGGCTTCACTGCCTCACTGCCTTGGGGGCAGGGGGGAGCCGCCTACTGCAGAAATGCTGGCAGGGCCGGGGCTCCTGGTGCCCTGTGGTCATCACCAGTGTGTCTGGGGCCTCTGCTCGGTCTGTGTCAGAGCGCGCAGAGGCTGCTCTTAGTGGTAGGGACAGTAGCAGGGGCAGGAGACCCCGATGAGGCTTCAAGAAGGAACCTGCAGAGGCCGACAGCCGGGGTGAGGGCCTGGGGAGAGGCAGGGCGTCGGGACTGCCGCTGCTGAGAGGAGGGGTCGGGGCCCAGCACAGCCTGGTTGTCATCGACCTGCAGTTCACTGTGGCTGCCCCGTCAGCGCCACAGCAGATGGAGGAGCAGCTGGGGCAGCGGCGGTGTTTGGGGTAGGGAAGGGCGGGGCCAGAGGGAGAAGCGAGGGACTCTGGCTTGTGACTGCCGTCCTCTGAGCGAGCTGTTTGTCCGACTCCGCAGGAGGGAACTCTGAAAATCATTGATCGGAAGAAGCACATATTTAAACTTGCTCAGGGAGAGTACGTCGCACCTGAGAAGATTGAGAACATCTACATCCGAAGCGAGCCAGTGGCGCAAATCTACGTGCATGGGGACAGCTTAAAGGTGAGGCTGCCGGCCAGCCTCCCACCGTCCCGCGGAGGAGGAGTCCAGTCAGACATTCCTCTGCTCTGAGCTACTGGGGTCTGGCCAATACCTTAAGTCGGGACAGAAAATTCCTTTCTAAGGATAAGTCTTTTTTTTTTTTTTTCCTAAAGGTCTTAATTACTTATAGTTTGGGCAAATAAGTGGCTTGAACTAGCAATAATAAACATTCTTAGCACGTTTAACTTACGTTTCACTTACTTTCAAAATGCCAAAGTAAGATGCTAGAGTAAATTTAAGGATTTCTACTGTTTTTATTTTTCAAATGTGCAAATAACCTTTGTAGATAAATTGATAGAGTATTACAGATGATGGTGTTGATGGTATAGCTTACTAGGATTAGATGTATGAGATGTATACATATTTTTCAGTCTATACTACATTTAGATTGAAGTTAAGAAGATCACAAATGTATATCAAAGTTATCAGATATACTCTATGCTACCATTGCATTTATATAATTAAATATGAAAGTATTTCTGAAGAAAATGCTGTAATTTCAGAAGGAGGTCTTCATGAATGAGGATTTATTCTTTTCACAATCCTTCCCCCACTACTGGGGATTTAACTCAGGACCTTGTGCTTGCCAGGCAGGCAAGGTGCCACTGAGCTACATCCCCGGCCCAAAAGAGGATTTATTAAGGGACAATTTCAAAATGGTGTCAAGATCCTGGGAAACATACTCAGTTCATAGAATTTGGATCATTTGATTAGCATCCTAAAGATAGCAGGTTTAAGATTGGCATAAGAATCAGAGGCACATATCAATCTAATTATGCTAATTTTTGAGTTGTTCTTAACCCCTGAAAGTTAGGGGGATATATCTGGAAATGAATAGTAAAGACAGTGTGATACATTGGCGGAAATGTTTCATAACATGAACACATGTTTCATAAGCATATACTTATTTTTAGAAAAGTCTGGAGTCTGAGAATACCAAGAGATTATTTTCAGTGCTCGACCACAAGCAAGCACTTTCCGAGCTTCTGTCCTGACTTGTCCTCTGGTGGTTTTGCAGGCCTATCTGGTGGGCATTGTAGTGCCTGACCCTGAAGTCATGCCCTCCTGGGCCCAGAAGAAAGGAATTGAGGGGCCGTATGCAGACGTATGTGCAAATAAGGTCAGCATCCTGGGGCTGTTTGCTAAGAGGTGGTTAAATGTTATGATCCCATGTAATGAGAGGACAGAAAAGCTGTTAGACCAGTGACATTTGAACACATAGGGAATTTCTGATACTACTTTATACATGATGGAAGTCCTAAACCAGAAATATGTCTTTAGTTGTTGAAGAAATTTATGATTCTTCTAGAAATTTGGTAAACGGTTGAAGTTTCGAGCCAGGAGGCACCGCAGAAAGTTTATCCAGCCCTGATGTCTTAAAGCCGCAGGAGGGCAGTGGGTGGAGGAGAGCTGCCCAGGGTCACATGGCTGCTCACAGCCGTCAGATGGGAGCAGGCCTCGCAGTCATGCTTCTTCCAAGTGGAAGGTAGATCTTGCGTCTACAGTGTCCAGAATTTACAGAGGTAGGAAGGGAGCTGAAACAGTAACCGTTCCTCCTGCTCAGAGCACCCCTTCGCCAGCCACTCGCCCGAGGATTGCTGTTCTCTGACAACAGCTTTAGACCCCACTCTCCCCCTGGACCCTGGGCTCATCTGGGGGTGGTAGGACTCACCAGCTGCTTTAAAGACTGAGGGGTCCCTTCAGCCTGTTTGCAGCTGCCCCTCTGGCCGCGAGGGGCCCTCACTTGCCTGATGAGGTGCTGATTGGCTTGCTGCCAGGAATCACCAGCCCCGAGAGGAAGGTTGGGGACACACACACACACACACACACACACACACACACACACACACGTCTCCATTTATGTGCACTCTGTTCAAAGTGTGCTGTTTCCACTACTTCCATTTTGAAGTGTGTTCTTGTCTTCTAATTTTACTTCTGTGGTTCCATTCAGGACCTGAAGAAAGCCATTTTAGAAGATTTGGTGAGGTTAGGAAAAGAAAGCGGACTTCATTCTTTTGAGCAGGTAACTACTATCTCCCCTATACCCGCTACAGCCCTTTAGTTAGGATGAAAATTAACTCATGGCGACCCTGGCCTAGATTCTTTACCCTTTCCGGTGTGGCCGGCCAGTGGGCTGTGGACTAATGGACCCCCGAAGGCCTGTCTCAGACGGACTGCTGCAGCCTGCCTCCTGAGTTAAAATAGGTCACTGGACAAGGGAGACTGCTTGTTGTCCTAATCCCAGAAGTTCGTAAGGTGAAACATTACCCTCGTTGTCACTATGAGATCCTGTGGAGCTGCTCTGTCTCCCAAGATGCCTGCAACAGTGAAGACTAGAGTCCTGTCTTATTTTTAATTTTATGAGAACTGTCTTCTGGCTGCATGGGCCATCGGAAAGGCTGGGTTCCTCCCTCAGTCGGGTGATCGATCTGTCAGCCCAGCATGGCTTCTGTAAGAGGTAGAAACAAAGAATGTACAAGGGAGAGGACAAGCCGTCCTCTGAGACAGTCTTTACGAGCCTGGGGTTCTTGCTGCAGCCGGATGTGTGACCATACTTGCTCCTGCTTATGTATTACACATACCCTCTTTATTTAAAAAGTCAGAGAACATTTCTCCAAGCAGAAAAACAGTAATACATTGATTTAAAACTTTTTTGTTCCGAAAAGCTTTTTTTTTTAAATAAAAATGAACACTTCATAAGAATTATTTTTCATAAAATTTTGTTTCCCCTAATATTGTGTGAGAGGTCTACAGGGCCTGTGGGAATTTCAAAATTTTGTGTATTGATGTAATCGTAGCCTAAGAATATTTAATTATTGATTTCAAATATGAAATTGTTGTGATTTTAAAAATTTGCTATTTAAAACCATTTCCATGAGTTGAGATTTTATTTATGTATTTATTTAGGGTTGTTTTTGAGACAGGGTCTCACTAGTTGAGACTGACCTGGAGCTCACTATGTAGTCCAAGCTGGTCTCGAACTCACAGCGATCCTCCTGCCTCAGTCTCCCAAGTGCTGGGATAACAGTAGTGCGCCACCATGCCCGGCCAAGATTTTTAATTTCTTAACTTCACACTGAGGAAATCTAAATATAGTTTTAGGGTCTAAGCATGTTACTTTTCTTTTGGAATAGATGTTTAATTAACGCAGTTTGAGAAATACAGCCTCACGGTCGTCTGAAAGTGTATTTTATATTTCAGGTCAATGGAAGCCTGCGTAAATCTTCACTTTAAAATATTATAACATTTAAGGCATTCAAACAAGTTGCATTTATCTTTCTGAGTGAAATGTCAGTTTTAGCCTAATAGTTATTTACATTTACAAGCTGGCTAAAACTGATTTCACTGTCCTTCCTTAATGGGGAGGGAGAATGCGACTAGGTCAGAGGTGACCGAGTAGAATAAGGCCACAGGTGAGTGATCCCTGGCCCAGCTAGTGTGGGCGGGTGTGGGGTGTGGCGTTTGGAAGGGCAGGCAGGCTGTGTGCAGACTGGGACCGGCCTTGCTGCCGTCCCGGCACATTCCTAAGGCCCGCGCGCCCTCTGCTGGTGATCTGCTGCGGGGCACGCCGAGAAGGGAATGTCCAGATTCCTCTTAATGGAAAAAAACACCAACTCTTAAGGTTGTGCTTAACAGGAACCTTCGATTAGGCTTTTAGTATGAACCATTACTTTTGTAGGTTATATGTTTTTGGCTCTCCACATGCCTTGAGCAGAGTTTCTGCTCTACTGATCTGTTCTCACTGTGATAACCTCAGATACTGGGAAGTCCTGTGGTATTCCGAGGTCTTTAGTTTTTATTGCCGTGGTTGTCGCCTCTTGATTTTCTGTCCTCATTCAGCTCTTTGTTGTTCTGAGGCGCCCTCCCCACCCGAGGCGGTGTCTGCCCTGGGCTAAACACGGGGCAGCAGACACCAGGCTTCATGCCTCAGTGGGGTGCGCTCACTGCGGTGAGCTGCGCTTAACAGAAATTGCTTCACTCGGTCCAGAATCCACCGTGGTCCTGTCTTTGTCCTTTCTCAGAAGAAGTGATCAGTTAAGGCTTCACTCCAACCATAAACACACAAATAAGAATTCCAGTGTTTAAATGATCTATTAAAAGCTTTAGCAATTCAGATTTTCTGTTCTGGGTTGATTCTCATTAAACTTTCAATTAGAAAAAAATTGATGTACTATAATAATAGTCTCTGGAAGCATACAATTCCTGAAATTAGACCAGCCGTTGTTAATTTATAGAGGAATTTGGAAGATATATGTTAATGAATAATTAGGAAGCCTATAAAATAATTATGTCAATCATTAATATAGGTAGGTGGCTAGGAAGTATTTGAATATACTTAGCTATGATTTAATAATTTTTTTGTATTTGGATGCCTTATCCATTTGCATTGGCAATACAAAATGAACTTTTATACTTTTGTACTTTGCCACTGCTAAAAACAAAAACAAAAAGGTGATCTTTCCATGATCATTTAATTTTTTTACTTTGTCCTAAATTGTTTACTATTTATTATCTAAGTGAGATAGCGTATTAAAGTATTTCATTAAGGAATACCTTTGAAAAACTTGTTTCATTAAAATATGAAAAATTCATGATTTTTTTGCATTGACATAAATGAGGTACTTTATTTTATTTCATACCTGTATTTAAATGTTTTAGTACCTACAAAAAACATTTTAAAGCCCTATACTATCTCTTTTCATTGAGAAGAGTAAAATTTATAAGAAAATACGCTAACATATCTTTCCTCCTTTCTTCAACAAAAACTACTAAATATTGCAAAGCTAGTTTCATGATGTATTGGGGACAAATGGAGGATGAGAATTCTCATACCCCACCTTTTTTTTTTTTTTTTTTTTTTTTTT